CTCCAAAGGGAGATTATACCTGAATAACACAGGGCTTAGGCCCTTCATCATTGATTATCACTAAAGTCCCTTGAAACACAAGGAGGATATGGGTCTAACATGGTTAACATCTAGGACTGGACTTTGTCTGTCTGCAGTCAGTCATACTATACTGGCTTCCATAGCTACATGCCTGGCAGAGAATGGACAGTATAGTTAGTGCGTGTAGCCAGGCAAAGACATGGAACCAGGAAAACAGAGATTCCAGCACACAAACCACAATCTCATTCAAATAAATGAAGATTAAATAAATACTGGGACAATATCAATTTGTATACGACTGTTGGCCTTGGTTCAAAACTTTAGGACACTAATTTCTTACTTCTCTGCCTGGTCGTAGGCCACCTTTCTCGGTTCAGTTCTGTTTTCAAAGCAGATTGAACAAAGAGCAAAGAAGTGATGAAAAAAATAAGAAATACAACCTTTTAAAAGAGTCCTGCCTGGGGTAGATCTTTTTCCATCAAAAGAAGTGAAGCACATCTGCATGGCACATTGCTTTGGAAAACCATTGGAGCAGGAGAGTTCATAAGGGTTTTCCTCTGGAGATGCTTCTCATCATCCTCTCTGAGATTAATTAAACGTGTGATAACACAGATATGGCCCTGTTTTGCCCCATTTAATAACATGTAACCCATGTAATAGCATGTCATTATTACATCTTGGTTGTGATCCTACAAATACCTTCATTGTGTGTGGCTAACTCAGCTAGGCTGCATCTGAAATGGCACACTGTTTCCTATAGAGTGCACTTTTGACAAGAGTCCGCATAGGGCTCTGGTCAAAAGTAGTGCACTATATAGGGAATAGGGTGCCATTTGGGGCGCACACTCAGTGTGCGACATGGACCGGCTACATGTGGCCTTTTGATTCATATTGAGGGCTAAACAGACAGTAGCTTTAGTCTCTCTGAGGGAGAAAGACGATTCTCTTCCTATTGATTGTTTGTGACTGATAAACAAGAAACATTCAGCGAAGGCCGGCGTACAAAACACATCCATCCTCAGGGACAAGTATTCCCTTTCTCTGCTCAGGGGTACTGCTCCCATTCCTGAAGGAAACAAGTGCACCACTAACAGTGAAACAGCTGTTCTATCCAGACCCATTGTCAGTGAGATTTAATGGGGAGACAAGGGCACACTGCACACTACGTTATAGAGGGCAGTTACTTATTGATAAGCTACAGTAGCATTCAATACCTTTGGTTGTGGTTCTGGGGCCGTATTACAGGCCTATCCATCCACAGTGTAGTCTAGATGATGGAGAGAACAGAGTGAAGGAATGTAAAGTCACTACTGACTAACATTCCACACCCATCTGAGAGAAGTCTTATATCAAACACACACAAACAAACACACACACACAGACACACAGACACACGCACAGACCTACATCCAGTTCTCCCATAATGAAAGACCCCACTCTGAGGCTGGGGAAGACCTGGTTTACTGTTTGTGTCTGGGCTGGGGTTGCTGCACCCACGGCCTGCTGAAGGAGCACTCAGGGAGCTTGAGCAAACGGTAAGACCCACTCAGAAATATGGAACCTAGAACCTTTGGAATACGGAACCTATGGAATATCCCTCTCCCTCTGCAACTGGACCCTGGACTTCCTGACGGGCCGACCCCAGGTGGTGAGGGTAGGCAACATTACCTTGGCCAAGCTGACCCTCAACACGGGGACCCCACAGGGGTGTGAGCTCAGTCCCCTCCTGTACTCCCTGTTCACCCACGACTCCAACACCATCATCAAGTTTGCTGACGACATGGCGGTGGTAGGCCTGATCACCGGCGAGGATGAGACAGCCTACAGGGAGGAGGTCAGTGACCTGGCATGGCGCTAGTTAGGGTGGTGCGTACAGCCCAGTACATCACTGGGGCCGAGCTCCCTGCCATCCAGGACCTCTATAACAGGCAGAGTAAATGGAAGGACCAGAAAATTGTTAAAGACTCCAGCCACCCAAGCCATAGACTGTTCTCTCTGTTTCCGCAAGGCAAGCGGTAACGGAGTGCCAAGTCTGACACCAACATGCTCCTGAACAGCTTCTATCGCCAAGCCATAAGACTGCTAAATAGCTAACAAAATGGCTACATGGACTATCTGCATTGACCCTTTTATTTTTATTTTTGCATTGACTCACATGACTCTCTCTACACACTCACTCACACACACTCACACTGACACTCCAACACACACACACACACACACACACTCACACTGACACTCCAACACACACACACACACACACACACACACACACACTTAATTTGCTCACACAAACATAACACGCACACACATTCATACTGACTCTCCACACACGCACACACACTCAGGTACAATCATCATTTACACTGCTGCTACTCTGTTTATCATATCTTCTGATGCCTAGTCACCATATCCCCATACATACTGTATCTACCCCTACTACAGAAAAGGTGCTATCTTAGAAAAGGTGCTATCTAGAACCATAAAGTGTTATTTGGCTCTCCCCATAGGAGAACCCTTTGAAGAACCCTTTTTGGTTGCAGGTAGAACCCTTTTGGCTCCATGGAACCCAAAAGGGTTTTCCTATGAGGACAGCCGAAGAACCCTTTTGGAACCCTTTTTTTTAAGAGTATACCACTCCAGTATCCCTGCACATTGTAAGTATGGTACTGGCACTGACCCTGGAACTGACCCTGTATATAGCTTACATACTTTCTGGTGTTCTTCTTATTTCTATTTCTCGTGTGTTTTTGTTCTACTTTACCTGATTTTATAGTATAATATTTTTACAGCATTGTTGGGAAAGAGCTTGCAAGAAAGGCATTTCAGTGTACTTATGCACGTGACAATACAACTTGAAACTTGAAAACTTGAAACTTGAATATGGAACCTTCTCAGAGGACTTCTAACCTGCTGGTCCCAGATCTGTTTGAGCTGTCTTACCAACTCCTAAGGTCATTGTGTGAGTATTACAGCACAAACAGATTTGCAACCAGCAGGCTTGTGAATCTCTGCTGAAGTTCCCACCCACTGTTAAGAAAGTGACTGAGAGATCTCAGATCTGAAACATCTGCTCTACATAGCTTTAAAACTTAGAAGAGGAAAACTACAGTTCACTCCTCAAAGAGGAACCAATGTGACATTTTCTGAAATAATGATACAATATACTATTGGCAGGGGAGAATATATGTATTTCCGTGTGCATATATCTCCAATCATTGGGTTCAACTCTGAGGACGCAGAGCTGAAACCTTGATGACTTTTAAAGCTTGTATTCTATGTAATGACCAGCAGTCATGTTAGAAGAAGTTGGATGTTTGGGATTTGAGGTTTTCCTTCAAGCAGAAACAGGAGTCTTGGTTTAGAGCTGTCCTATAAATTACTGCATGTGGAATGTGCTCCCTAAACTTTGTGTTGATTCAGACTCACACTTTTACTGCAGCCCGGCTATTACGTTGATTCCCAGTCCCTTGTCCCTCACACTCCAATGGATGTTTGTTACTGGCAAACATCTCCAACTTGGGCTAGTCTCCCAGTGGGGAACGTTGGGAAACTATGATCTGTCTCTTTGGAGAGAGGAAGAAGAGGATGTGCTGGTGTCATTGAACACACCAAGACTTTGCCAAATACTGAAGAACATGGCTTTCCTACTTAGGTCCTAGATAGCAGGCCCCAATCTTTACTTTTGGCTACTGTCCTATACAGCTGAGAAAGTATTTGTCAACCTGACCAGCTTACTAATAAATTTACACTGCACCAAACACAAATCCCAAATCTCAGTGCTATCCATCTGTCAGTTTCATGTATGATTTGAGACAAAATGCATTTTTTCTTTTGTACTGTAAAGTGAGAATGTCTCTCTCTCTCTCTCTCTCTCTCTCTCTCTCTCTCTCTCTCTCTCTCTCTCTCTCTTCTCGCTCTCTCTCTCTCTCTCTCTCTCTCTCTCTCTCTCTCTCTCTCTCTCTCTCCCTCCCTCCCTCCCTCACCCTCTCTCTTACCTCACCCACTCTCTATCTATGTCTCCTTCTCCTTCTCTCTCTCCCTCTCTCTCTCTCCCATAAACTTCCACCCACCCTCTGCCAGGGGCTTGGGTTGAGTGTGTAGTCCTGGGATGGGAAAAAAAGTATACCGTTCCTCCCCTCACCTGTGAAATTTCAGAGGGAGCCAGGCTGAAAGGGGACATTGTTTCCCCCCCCTAGAGGAATGCCCTGTGTTGTCCTCAAATAAAGGCTTAATTTGCACAGGAATTTGGAAGCTCATTGAGACTTGAGAACATGGAGGAGATCTTGGGGTGATGTCCTCTGGTGGGACTGGTCACTAACTGGTCAGTGGGTTGTGTAACTGTAGCTGAATATGCCCTAATATGCAATGAGATATGAGTATATGACAGTAAGGAACTTATGTGATGATGTTGTCTCATGTAGCTGAAGATTTTTATTTTTTCATATTTCAGATTACTTTATCATACATTATAACATCCCAGAGAGTCACCAACTGTTTGAGGGGCATTTTCAAAATTGTCTCTAGAAGCTTGCCTCTATCCAAGACAAAGTTTGACACAGGAAACCAGTTTGGCCTGGAATGAATGAGAGACAGAAGTCCAGCATTTTGCTTGGTCAGATGCCAGCCATACAGGCCCCTGAGAGAAAGAGAGCGAGAGAGAGAGCAAGAGAGAGAAAGCCTTCTTAATAGTATCTCTAGACAATCAAAGACAAATAAAACTGTAAGTATAGCTAAAATACTGTGGTGTGCTTTGTGCAATGGGATTCAAACTTAAACCACTTTAATTTCCCATAGTTCATCAACTTTAGGGACCTGACTATTTTCTTGATAATGTTGACCTCTACTGGTGAAATGAAAGCGATACACTCACGTTAATAATACTAGTGATGGACATCATGATGAACCAACAGGCTTTGGACTCTTGGTAGGCGGTCAAATGTGTAAACATCCAATCATCGATCATTTTGGGCGGAAGTGGTTCGCATGCGCTCCTGGCTGCAAGAAAAACCTACAGATTAGCTAGCAGGTATGTGGCAAAAACTGTTCTTTCAATTCAAAATGTATTTAATTACAATGAACTACTAATTGAATGGCGTTGTGTAATGACATAGCTACATGTACGACATTGGATGGTGGAGAATGTGAATTGAACACTAGTTACAAACATCAGCTTGTTCAATAACTTGCTAGCTGTTAACTGACAGACTAGCTGATGCAGGTCCAATAGCTAGCTATGCTAGCTAGCTACTAGCCTCGGGGTCTGAGTTGAGTTCATCGACTGTTTGGCTAAGCACAACCCAAACTGTAGGTAACTTCATTATGAATTTACTTACTGTAGCTAGCTTGCTATTGCTTTTGCTTGCTGCTAGTAGACTCAACAAAATGTTAGGACTGTGTCGGGACGCTGTGGGATATTAGCTAACAGAAAGGAATAACCAAATAAATCTTTGATATGTTGGATATCTTACCGGTGTGGGTTTTGTTTGGCCGGGAGGATTTCAGTGGATTAACTAATGTTAACTAGTAACATTAACAGTTGGCTTGTTTCATTTCGCTGATCAATGTGTAGGTAACTGCCAAAATAATGTTAACGCTTGAGTAAATGGGGGATACATAGTGTATTGAAAGCAGGTTCTTCCACACAGGTATGGTTAATGAGTTGTTTAAAGGAAAATTCCACCCCAAAAAATATATTTTGGGATTTGTTTCATTAGTCCATTGTTGATATAGTCCCAAAATGTTTTCCATGTCATCAATGAAGTTTTCAAGATCTATAACTTAAAAAATATAGAAATATAGCCGGTATGCTGCATTTTGCATCATTTGATGTTGCGTTTTCAAGTCAAATTGTATTGGTCCCATACACATGATGCTACGTTTTGCATATGATGCAGAATACATCATACCTGCTGTATTTCTGTATTTTGAAAGCTATATATCTTGAAAGCTTGAGTGATGACATGCAAAACATTTTGGGACTATATCAATAATGGACTAATGAAACAAATACCAAAAGATAGTTTTGGGGTAGTTTTCCTTAAAACAATTAACATGCATCATGCTTATGGTCATGTATAAAAATGCTGGGCAGGCCATTATTTTGGTCATTATTTTTGGCTACCATGGCTATGCCCCCATTTGTAGAGTTTATGCCAAGGCGCATTGAATCTATTCTGGCTTGTGGTGGCCCAACACCCTATTAATAAGACACTTTTTATGTTGGTGTTTCTTCTATTTTGGCAGTTACCTGTACACTACAGCTACTAGCTAGCTAGCTAGCCAGCACAGGTTGATCTTGACTCTCAATAATGTGGGTTCTTTCCCAGCCTTGTCATTGATTCTCCTTTATCTGCACTCTGATCTGAAAACACAGGGTAGGTAAAAGCCCAGTTCCTATAAATCAGTACAGATAAAGGAAAGGAGACAAGGAGTTCACACTATTGCAGATGCATACTTGCAAGCCACCATATTGCATTCAACCCTCCCTCAACAGTAACGTCAACAACAGTAACATGAAATCTCGTAGCCCGCTAGCTGGCTTTCTTTTTCTATCCCTAGTTAATGTTACCGGGTTAGTCAAGATTTTCTGATCTATCTCTGACAGCGTAATGGCAGGTGAGGATGAGGAGTTGGTCCAATCGAGGAAGAGTAGAACTCTGATCATCCGCCATCTCCCAGCTGACCTGTCCAGGGATGAGAAGCAGGATCTACTCAAGTACTTTGGTGCCGTGGCAGTCAGAGTGTTCTCTGATAAAGGAGTACTGGTAGGTCAGACCATGTAGCCCACTACTGTATCTTAAGTCTTAGCTGGCTACGGTCTTAACAGTAGATTGTGCACAATAAACAACAACAACATGACAACAAAACAACATGACATCAAAACACACAATACACCAACACTGTCCAATAACACATTTTTACAACAATTGTACATTAACACTAGAACTGCTGGGTCTCAGAGGGGCCCCCCTTCAAGCTAAGGAGCAGTCATTCTGACGGCAACATTCTAACAGTGTCATTAATATATTTCATACAGTTGAAGTCGGAAGTTTACATACACTTAGGTTGGAGTCATTAAAACTTGTTTTTCAACCACTCCACACATTTCTTGTTAACAAACTATAGTTTTGGCAAGTCGGTTAGGACATCTACTTTGTGCATGACACAAGTAATTTTTCCAACAATTGTTTACAGACCGATTATTTAACTTATAATTCACTGTATCACAATTCCTGTGGGTCAGAAGTTTACATACACTAAGTTGACTGTGCCTTTAAACAGCTTGGAAAATACCAGAAAATGATGTCATGGCTTTAGAAGCTTCTAATAGGCTAATTGACATCATTTGTGTCACCTGTGGATGTATTTCAAGGCCTACCTTAAAATGCAGTGCCTCTTTGCTTGACATCATGGGAAAATCAAAAGAAATCAGCCAAGACCTCAGAAAAAAAATTTGTAGACCTCAACAAGTCTGGTTCATCCTTGGGAGCAATTTCCAAATGCCGGAAGGTACCACGTTCGTCTGTACAAACAATGGTACGCAAGTATAAACACCATGGGACCACGCAGCTGTCATACCGCTCAGGAAGGAGACACGTTCTGTCTCCTAGAGATGAATGTACTTTGGTGCGAAAAGTGCAAATCAATCCCAGAACAACAGCAAAGGACCTTGTGAAGTTGCTGGAGGAAATGGGTACAAAAGTATCTATATCCACAGTAAAACGAGTCCTATATCGACATAACCTGAAAGGCCGCTCAGCAAGGAAGAAGCCACTGTTCCAAAACCGCCATTAAAAGCCAGACTACGGTTTGCAACTGCACATGGGGACAAAGATCATACTTTTTGGAGAAAAGTCCTCTGGTCTGATGAAACAAAAATAGAACTGTTTGGCCATAATGACCATTGTTATGTTTGGAGGTAAAAGGGGGGACTTGCAATCCGAAGAACACCATCCCAACGGTGAAGCACGGGGGTGGCACCATCATGCTGTGGGGGTGCTTTGCTGCAGGAGGGACTGGTGCACTTCACAAAATAGATGGCATCATGAGGAAAGAAAATGATGTGGATATATTGAAGCAACATCTCAAGACATCAGTCAGGAAGTTAAAGTCTTCCAAATGGACAATGACTCCAAGCATACTTCCAAAGTTTTGGCAAAATGGCTTAAGGACAACAAAGTCAAGGTATTGGAGTGGCCATCACAAAGCCTTGACCTCAATCCTATAGAAAATGTGTGGGCAGAACTGAAAAAGCGTGTGCGAGCAAGGAGGCCTACAAACCTGACTCAGTTACACCAGCTCTGTCAGGAGGAATGGGCCAAAAGTCACCCAACTTATTGTGAGAAGCTTGTGGAAGGCTACCTGAAAAGTTTGACCCAAGTTAAACAATTTAAAGGAAATGCTACCAAATACTAATTGAGTGTATGTAAACTTCTGACCCACTGGTAATGTGATGAAAGAATTAAAAGCTGAAATAAATAATTCTCTCTACTATTATTCTGACATTTCACATTCTTAAAATAAAGTGGTGATCCTAACTGACCTAAGACAGGGAATTTTTACAATGATTAAATGTCAGGAATTGTGAAAAACTGAGTTTAAATGTATTTGGCTAAGGTGTATGTAAACTTCCAACTTCAACTGTATACAGTGGGGGTAAAAAGTATTTAGTCAGCCACCAATTGTGCAAGTTCTCCCACTATGACAGACAAATAGAGATTTTTTTTCTCCAGAAAATCACATTGTAGGATTTTTAATGAATTTATTTGCAAATTATGGTGGAAAATAAGTATTTGGTCACCTACAAACAAGCAAGATGTCTGGCTCTCACAGACCTGTAACTTCTTCTTTAAGAGGCTCCTCTGTCCTCCACTCGTTACCTGTATTAATGGCACCTGTTTGAACTTGTTATCAGTATAAAAGACACCTGTCCACAACCTCAAACAGTCACACTCCAAACTCCACTATGGCCAAGACCAAAGAGCTGTCAAAGGACACCAGAAACAAAATTGTAGACCTGTACCAGGCTGGGAAGACTGAATCTGCAATAGGTAAGCAGCTTGGTTTGAAGAAATCAACTGTGGGAGCAATTATTAGGAAATGGAAGACATACAAGACCACTGATAATCTCCCTCGATCTGGGGCTCCACGCAAGATCTCACCCCGTGGGGTCAAAATGATCACAAGAACGGTGAGCAAAAATCCCAGAACCACACGGGGGGACCTAGTGAATGACCTGCAGAGAGCTGGGACCAAAGTAACAAAGCCTACCATCAGTAACACACTACGCCGCCAGGGACTCAAATCCTGCAGTGCCAGACGTGTCCCCCTGCTTAAGCCAGTACATGTCCAGGCCCGTCTGAAGTTTGCTAGAGTGCATTTGGATGATCCAGAAGAGGATTGGGAGAATGTCATATGGTCAGATGAAACCAAAATAGAACTTTTTGGTAAAAACTCAACTCGTCGTGTTTGGAGGACAAAGAATGCTGAGTTGCATCCAAAGAACACCATACCTACTGTGAAGCATGGGGGGTGGAAACATCATGCTTTGGGGCTGTTTTTCTGCAAAAGGACCAGGACGACTGATCCGTGTAAAGGAAAGAATGAATGGGGCCATGTATCATGAGATTTTGATTGAAAACCTCCTTCCATCAGCAAGGGCATTGAAGATGAAATGTGGCTGGGTCTTTCAGCATGACAATGATCACCTTGAAAACCTTGTGAAGACTTACAGAAAACGTTTGACCTGTGTCATTGCCAACAAAGGGTATATAACAAAGTATTGAGAAACTTTTGTTATTGACCAAATACTTATTTTCCACCATAATTTGCAAATAAATTCATAAAAAATCCTACAATGTGATTTTCTGGAAAAAAAATTCTCATTTTGTCTGTCATAGTTGACATGTACCTATGATGAAAATTACAGGCCTCTCTCATCTTTTTAAGTGGGAGAACTTGCACAATTGGTGGCTGACTAAATACTTTTTTTCCCCCACTGTATGCTATTGCAAAAATCATATGGTTGTGTTTATGAAGGCCTTGGGTAACATTAGAATACTATATATTTTTTTTCATTTAAAATAACACAAGTGTTTTCATTAGTTTATGTTACTGTAGGCTATATGTAAAAACGCCAAAATTCAAAAGACGCGTGGTCAATGAAAACATCAAATCAAATTTTATTGGTCACGTACACATGTTTAGCAGATGTTATTGCAGGTGTAGCGAAATGCTCAGTAGCGTAAACGTCATTAAGTGCCAAGTGGCCTTGATAAATAGTGAAACTCGCCACAAAAGCAATAAATGCAGTATAATGAATATGTGTCGATATGACAACAGTAAAAAATAGTAAGTTATTGTCAGCTCGTGTTTACATTGTGTGCATCTTTACACAATGGCATCAGTTGGATTTCACTGACCTGTTACCCATGTCCTAACAGTTGACAGAACTTTCATAACTTTAACTTGCTTGACACACTTTGACATACCTTTGTCTTATTGTAGTGCGTAATAGTCTCCGGTTTTCTCTTTGTGTTCTCGTTGTCTTGTCATTGTAAGGCTGTACAGGTCCAGAAGAATAGAATGGCCCGCCCTGTTCTTCAATCACAATTAGTGATTACATAATTATGCATGTTTGCTTCCCCTCGTTCATCAACTCACCCATTCTCCCCCTTTCTCCCCATCATACTGGAGAACGCGTTTCCACTGCTCCAGAGTCCAATGGCGGCGAGCTTTACACCACTCCATCTGACAGTTGGCATTGTGCATGGTGATCTTAGGCTTGTGTGCGGCTGCTCGGCCATGGAAAGTCATTTCATGATGCTCCCGACTAACAGTTCTTGTGCTGACGTTGTTTCCAGAGGCAGTTTGGAACTCACAACCGAGGACAAACGATTTTTACGCGCTACACACTTCAGCACTCGTGGTCCCATTCTATGAGCTTGTGTGGCCTACCACTTCACGGCTGATCTGTTGTTGCTCCTAGACGTTTCCACTTCACAATAACAGCACTTACAGTTGACCGGAGCAGCTCTAGCAGGGTATAAATTTGACGAACTGACTTGTTGGACAGGTGGCATCCTATGACGATGCCATGTTGAAAGTATCTAACAATTCACAACAATACACAAATCTAAAAGTCAAACAATGGAATTAAGAAATATATAAATATTAGGACGAGCAATGTCGGAGTGGCATTGACTAAAATACAGTAGAATAGAATACAGTATATACATATGAGATGAGTAAAGCAGTATGCAAACTTCTTCTTGAGCCACTCCTTTGTTGCCTTGGCCGTGTGTTTTGGGTCATTGTCATGCTGGAATACCCATCCACGACCCATTTTCAATGCCCTGGCTGAGGGAAAGAGGTTCTCACCCAAGATTTGACGGTACATGGCCACGTACATCGTCCCTTTGATGCGGTAAAGTTGTCCTGTCCCCTTAGCAGAAAAACACCCCCAAAGCATAATGTTTCCACCTCCATGTTTGACGGTGGGGATGGTGTTCTTGGGGTCATAGGCAGCATTCCTCCTCCAACACGGCGAGTTGAGTTGATGCCAAAGAGCTCCATTTTGGTCTCATCTGACCACAACACTTTCACCCATTTCTCCTCTGAATCATTCAGATGTTCATTGCCAAACTTCAGACAGGCCTGTATATGTGCTTTCTTGAGCAGGGGGACCTTGCGAGCGCTGCAGGATTTCAGTCCTTCACAACGTAGTGTGCTACTAATTGTTTTCTTGGTGACTATGGTCCCAGCTGCCTTGAGATCATTGACAAGATCCTCCCGTGTAGTTCTGGGCTGATTCCTCACCGTTCTCATGATCATTGCAACTCCACGAGGTGAGATCTTGCAAGGAGCCCCAGGCTGAGGGAGATTGACAGTTTTTTTGTGTTTCTTCCATTTGCGAATAATCGCACCAACTGTTGTCACCTTCTCACCAAGCTGCTTGGCGATGGTCTTGTAGCCCATTCCAGCCTTGTGTAGGTCTACAATCTTGTCCCTGACATCCTTGGAGAGCTCTTTGGTCTTGGCCATGGTGGAGAGTTTGGAATCTGATTGATTGATTGCTTCTGTGGACAGGTGTCTTTTATACAGGTAACAAGCTGAGATTAGGAGCACTCCCTTTAAGAGTGTGCTCCTAATCTCAGCTCGTTACCTGTATAAAAGACACCTGGGAGCCAGAAATCTTTCTGATTGAGAGGGGGTCAAATACTTATTTCCCTCATTAAAATGCAAATCAATTTATAACATTTTTTACATGCATTTTTCAGGATTTTTTTGTTATTCTGTCTCTCACTGTTCAAATAAACCTATCATTAAAATGATAGACTGATCATTTCTTTGTCAGTGGGCAAACGTACAAAATCAGCAGGGGATCAAATACTTTTTTCCCTCACTGTATATAGGGCAGCAGCCTCTAAGGTGCAGGGTTTAGTAGCCGGGTGGTAGCAGGCTAGTGATGGCTATTTAACAGTCTGATGGCCTTGAGATAGAAGCTGTTTTTCAGTCTCTCGTCCCAGCTTTGATGCACCTGTACTGACCTCGCCTTCTGGATGATAGCGGGGTGAACAAGCAGTGGCTCAGGTGGTTGATGTCCTTGACTGTCTTTTTGGCCTTCCTGTGACATCGGGTGCTGTAGGTGTCCTGGAGGGCAGGCAGTGTGCCTCCGGTGATGCGTTGGGCAGACCGTACCACCATCTGGAGAGCCCTGCATTTGTGGGGGGTGCAGTTGCCATACCAGGTGGTGTTACAGCCCGACAGGATGTGCTCAATTGTGCATCTGTAAAAGTTTCTGAGGGTCTTAGGGGCCAAGCCGAATTTCTTCAGCCTCCTGAGGTTGAAGAGGGGTGTTGCGCCTTCTTCACCACACTGTCTTTGTGGGTGGACCATTTCAGATTGTCGGTGATGTGTACGCCGAGGAACTTGAAGCTTTCCACCTTCTCCACTGCGGTCCCGTCGATGTGGATAGGGAGGGGTACTCCCTCTGCTGTTTCCTGAAGTCCACGATCAGCTCCTTTGTTTTGTTGACGTTGAGGGAGATGTTATTTTCCTGGCACCACTCTGCCAGGGCCCTCACCTCCTCCCTGTAGGCTGTCTGGTCATTGTTGCTAATCAGGCCTACTACTGTTGTGTCGTCTGCAAACTTGATGATTGAGTTGGAGGCGTGCGTGGCCACGCAGTCATGGGTGAACAGGGAGTACAGGAGGGGGCTGAGCATGCACGCTTGTGGGGCCCGTGTTGAGGATCAGTGAAGTGGAGGTGTTGTTTCCTACCTTCACCACCTGGGGGGCGGCCCGTCAAGAAGTCCAGGACCCAGTTGCACAGGGCGGGGTTCAGACCCAGGGTCCCGAGCTTAATGATGAGCTTGGAGGGTACTATGGTGTTGAAGGCTGAGCTATAGTCAATGAACAGCATTCTGACGTAGGTATTCCTCTTGTCAAGATGGGATATGGCATTACTCATTTCGATGGCGATTGCATCGTCTGTGGATCTATTGGGGTGGTAAGCAAATTGAAGTGGGTCTAGGGTGTAAGGTACAGGTGATATGATCCTTAACTAGCCTCTCAAAGCACTTCATGAAGTGAGTGCTACGGGGCGATAGTCATTTAGTTCAGTTACCTTGGCTTTCTTGGGTACAAGAACAATGGTGGACATCTTGAAGCAAGTGGTGACAGCAGACTGGGATAGGGAGAGATTGAATATGTCCATAAACACTCCAGCCAACTGGTCTGCGAATGCTCTGAGGACGCGGCTAGGAATGCCGTCTGGGCCGGCAGCCTTGCGAGGGTTAACACGCTTAAATGTCTTACTCACTTCGGCCACGGAGAATGAGAGCCCACAGTCCTTGGGAGCGGGCCGCGTCGGTGGCACTCTGTTATCCTGAAAGCGGGCAAATAAGGTGTTTAGCTTGTCTGGGAGCAAGATGTCGGTGTCCGTGACGTGGCTGGTTTTCCCTTTGTAATATATGATTATTTAGGAAAAGTCAAGGATGGAGGGGGATATTGACTTAAAAAATGGCAGAGTAATAAACAAATAAAAAATCATGAGCAGTCAGAATGACTGCTTTAGCGGTTCTCCTGTTAATGCAATTACATTCTTATACCTCCAGAGACACACAGCCTTTGCAACATTTGGGAGTGAAAAGTCTGCAGCAAAGGTAGGCTAATTGTTTCTGCATTCAGTAGTAGTTCATTATCATATTACATGATGTAAATTAGAGTTATAGTAATAGGATATAGTAAAACCTGTATTCTCTCCCCTGTCCTGCAGGCTCTGAGCAGGCTTCACCAGCTGCAGATCCTCAACCATACCCTGGTGGTGGAGTTTGCCAAAGACCAGGAACATGTGACGGTGCTGAAAGACCCACCTGTGTCAGACAGGTAATTTATCTCAACTGGGTGAGACAGTCAAATATGTTCAGTTGTAAAGCAAAACGTGTCTAGTGTATATTAAACCCTTTGTCTTTCTCAGTGCAACAGATGTCAAAGACGTGAAGAAGAAAAAGGAGGTGAAACAACCGACTATACCGCTGATAGAGACTGGCACTGCACCCAAACTCGGGTAATTGTGTGCATGTGTGTGTCTTGAGACTGACGCTGTGCGTGTGTGTTGCCTGGGGGATGACTGACTGAGACTCAGCCGGAATCTCCAATGAGGAGCTGTCAGCATTCTCATGTCCAATTATAACCCCAGGTCTCAGGTCTGTGGCTGAGCACATCAGCACTGACAGGTCAGGTCTGTGGCTTGGTGCTCGGCAGTGACATCAGCAGTGACAGGCCATCTGCTGCTGCCAGTTGGTGGCACCAGGTGGCCTTTGATAAAGACACTCAGGGCTGAGGTGTGAGGTGTCATGGCACTATGAGAAGTCACCTATCCTACCCAGCACACACATTGGGGGTTGATTTGTCTGTCAGTTATTCGAGGGTATGTGCATTATCGTAGTTGGATGAAATGCATGTGTACAGTCATTTTTAGTAATTATGTGGCTGTGAAGCCCCAGTAAGCCTACAGCAAGACTTGCAGAAAGATGGGCTTTAGGTTTGGTTTCTCAATCCTATACTGAAAGGGCTTTTTAGTCCAGGAATAGGCTTATTCCAGGAAAGCGACCCATTGAGTTTATGGTCCCTCGACATTCAGTTACAAAAGATTAATTTTTTAATGCAGGTAATGACTTTGTTCATTAAAAGGCCCCCATACTCTGAGTGTAAATATACTTTGAGTTGAATGAGTTTCAGCCTCCATGGCTGGCACAGAACACGGCCTAGCCTAAGCACAGTCCTTTGTCATTACACGAGAACAGACCTTGAATAGATGCTGAGATAGCATACTGGTCTCAACGTCCCTGAATAGGAAGTGTGATATTGAGTATATTTCAGTCGCATGCTGCGCAGGTTGTTAAGGAAAAAGGCAGCCAAAGCCCGCTTCTAAACCTCAGTGGCCTGCTTACATATTTATGCGGCCCCATTATTTTGACTTATTTTGTTTCTGGTATTATTTTTGCGTGTTAGGAGACCGTACGTTCGTAGGTAGCGCTTGACATGTTTTATGTGCTTATTATTCTGTTTTCTGTGGGGGTTTTTCTTCATTCTCTGCAGGTTGAAATTTCAAACAAATCCCAGTCTGAAATATTTATACCCACCTCCTTCGAATGGGATCCTGACAAACATAACACATGCCCTTCTGAGCGTACCAAAGTTCTACGTTCAGGTGAGTACATCCTGCAAAGTGATATTTCCTTCTGTGTTGGTTTATTTATGAGCTCATGCTGGGAAATGTATTTATGCAAATATATATATTATTCCTCATATCTCTGTGCATTTATTTATTCCACAGTTACATTTTCTTATTTTAACCTTAGAGAAAAACAATTATGTTAACAAAATAACATTTATATATTCTTGACTCAGAACATGTCTCTAGTGTTTTTTTTTTTTGCCACATCCAACACACTTTAAAGATCAAACAGCAAACATTTGCCTGGGAAATTACAATTAAGGGAGCAAATTATAAGTGGGAGGCATGAGTAATGGGTTTAACATTTCCCTCCATGCTGCTGGGCTGTCCTTCTTACTCTCTGGGAACTATTCACAGCTGCAGTACCTCATAATGGTCTCTTGGTGGCGCTAGTGTGTTGTGGAAGGGCATGCCATTGTCCTAACAATGCAGGCACTCTCCTCACTCACTCACTACCTCACCCATCCACTGTATATTTCCATTGGTAAATGCTGCAGACATATGCTCTCCTTGCAATCTGTGTTGCATATGGAGCTGAGGTCACAATGACTGTGTGTTTGTGTTGCTAGCATAGACATTAAAACCAGTAGATGGTGGTAGTGCTGATGTCATCCACGTATTCCTATTGAAAACTCCCATTGGCGCATGAAGCCAGAAGTATTTGAATTTGAAGCGCGCCATATTGCTGAATGGCACCAAAAAATCGCTAAGGATCATGGTGAAAGTGGCCATAATTATCAAAGGATCATGGTCGATGTAGTCGTTTTCATCCTGACTGAGAGGGTCAACTGGAGCCTCCTCGTAGCCTGCCCGCCTGTGATTGGTTTGTGTCAGTACGTGTGACGACAAATGTAGTAGTCAGAATGGATCACTATTTCATAAAATATCTCGATGTGTACCGAACTTTAAAATAATTCACCATGGGGATCGAATTTGATCATAATAAACTAATTTTAAAGGCCAAATAGGCTGCTAACATTTTTATTGGGGGCTGTTCTGGCGATCGTAATTTACACAGTAGCCACCCAGCAGAGCTTGTGACTTCGCGCTCCAGACTGGACACTGGGGGCCTGGTTGCTAGTGTGTGTTTGTGATGTTGGCACAGTCACGCCAATCCGCCCAGACATTTTACAATAAATGATTGGATTCAGAGCTTCAGCTAGCTAAACCTTTAAGAAGTGGAGCGTCGTAGTCTGGCTGTTACAGTACAGTGTGTTGTCATCCCAACAGGTCCTTCACCTGATGAACAAGATGAACCTACCGTCTCCGTTCGGCCCTATCACAGCAAGACCTCCGATGGTGAGATTACAGGATCACACTCCAACACACAGATTAGTAGATTATATACTAGCTTCATTATACTAGCTTCATTATATACTAGCTAGATTATGGAGACCATACTCCAAGACCCAGATTATTGTCACAACTAGACTAGATTGTCCAATACCTATAATATACACTAGTTAGATTTCAATCCCATCTGTGGATGTAGACTAGTGTTACCACGTCTTTGTGTGTGATTGTATGAAAGATTGCGTACTGTAGCAGGTCTTGTAAATTCAGGCCTCAATGAATATATTCTCTTTCTCCCCTTAGTATGAGATGTATCCTGCCCCCCCTCCACCTATGCCGCCCCCCTATCCTCCCCACTACCCCCCCTTACCAGCAGATGAGATGGATTTCTCCAGTGAGGAGGGGTCTGAGTATGAGAGTGGCGATGACGAGGACAAAGAGAGGTGAGGGACCAATCACACTTCTTTATTGGCGATTGATTTAAATTTCAACCAATAAAATCAGTTTAGAGGCTGCCCCCTGTCAATGTCTTTTGGTCTCAAGCCAAATGATTACAAGAGATATGAGATTTTTATGTTTTTGTGTGGTAGCTGTACCTGTATTTTTTCCTTCACAGCTAGCAATTTGCTCTAACATATCCAAATGGGTTGTTGCAATGAATGTTGAGTCACATTATTCTGACGGTATTTCACAGTATACCACTATTTCCCCTGTGCCATTTCTAGAGCAGTCATAATTTGCACAGTGGCGTGAATGTCTAGGCTGCTTTTATTTCCTTTTGTTGATTTCTTCTCCAGGATGATTCGCCTGATGGGTCTGGTCAACCAAGCATGCAAGAGACCCCTGAGAACTAAAGTGTCCTCCAAGAGAAAGAAACCCAAGTTCAAGGACCTTCTCTTTGTCCCAAAGCCCGACTCTCAGAGGTACCCAGCCACTCATGCACATCAACCCTCTCCCTCCTCTTCTTAATCTATTGTCAACTTTAAAATATGCAGTTTTCTGTTTGAAAGGTACAGGGTTGTCTGTCTGAAGGGCCAGACAACATAACTAGCTGTGAAGGATTTATCCTCCTTCCAAACAACATTTCTCACTCACAATAGTCCGCCAATGTGGCTTTGGCTGCATATTGGATATCTGCCTGCACCTTGTGTAACCCCAAAATAGATCAGACCACAAACTCAGTTTGAAGAGAGTAGAAATTCCACAAACGCACTCTAAATGTTCCCTGAGCCTACACAGTGGACTGGGAAATATCAAGCTGACCAGAAAAAAAGATAAACTAGCTAGATTCACAGAGAAATACAGTTTACTGTGCCCAGTGCCAGACCCTGGTGTTTAGTGGTGTATGTTAGCTTTCTGGTGATCTCTCAGTGCTCCAGGGCCCATCCTGCAGCCATCGGATGTGTTTGAGCAGCCCCAGCCCTGCGGACAGAAGAAGATTGAGTTCCACATTTCAACAGATGTGTCGGCCATACTGGAAGGAGGAGGAATCAGCTCCAACCAGCCACAGGAGCCCACTGAGCCAGCTGAGGAGGCTGAAGGTAGGGCCTCAGACTCGGACTCGCCACAGGGCCAGGCTGCACCCCTCTGGGAAACACACACACTACCCACAGTTTCAGTGGTCTAAGGTTACATCCAAAATGGCACCCTATTCCCTATATAATGCACTAGATTTGTCCCTATTGGCCCTGGTCAAAAGGAGTGTACTGTATAGGGAATAGGGTGCCATTTCAAATGCATCCATAACAGTCAGGATGGAGCTTCTATTCCTTGAGACTTGAAGAACAGTTTGAAGGGGGAATTTAACATGTCAACTCAAAAGATTGAGAAGATAATATTATAGGCCACACAAAGGTTATAATGAAGCGTTATCATATTGTAGCACATTTTGAATGGTAATAATGAGGAATCATAGAATTATGTAAAAGGCTTTTAACACCTCCATTTTATTGGAACATCTGTGATTCCATGGTTACAATACAAATGGATTAATTTCAATCAGTAGCCGCACCACTAGAGGAATCACAGGATATGCTGCATTGTATTTCAAGGCTTCTATAGAATGCACTATAGAATTATCAAAGCAGGAAGGTGTTTCATTATTATCAGGATTAGAGATATTTCATTTTGTGGCACTGTGTGTTGTCACCTGCCACCCTGACTGGCTGTCGCAGCTTGTCTTATCTTCTGTCTCTTATAAGCCACCCTCTTCCCATGAATCCACTCTTGTCCCAACTCCCGAGAAATAAAATGGATCTAAAAAGTCAAATGCAAAAGATTGTCTAACGCATAGAAGACTAACTGTGGCAGGTGGGTTTGTGGATTATTCTTGTTTTGGGGTGCTGATAAACAACCCGTTTAAATGAAGCAAAGGGGTGTGATAAGGAGGAGGATCATTTGAAAAATTCTCTACTGAGAATTTATCAGAACAGCCCTGGCATTCCGCACCGGTGGGCGCGCACGCTAGATGTGTATGACAAGTTTCCAGAGGATTTGTATAAGCTTGCTGCTCATAATTTTGTGTGTGCGCGCACCTCAGAGTGCCCAATTACCTTTTACCTCAGCCTTAAGTGAAAGTTCCATGGAGCTGTGCTTGCTAATAGCTCTGTTATTTTACCAAAACAGTCCACATAGCAGTAGCAGTCAACTAATGCTTTGAACAATCTCTTTTAAACCCTGACAAACGTATCATTTGTTTATTGCAGCTTGTCCACTCATTACAGTAGACTGGTTCAGCCTAAACATTTAATACGATTTCCAATGTATTAATTACATAAGCCAAATAAACATGACATTTGAGACTAATAATCCTCTATCTGTCCCAGTAGCAGCTGAGGAGATGCAGGCCACCACCACTACAGAGGAGGATCCAGGGGAGGGCTTTGGGAAGATCTACCCTGCCGCCCAGGCCTCCCAGCTGGAGGAGGACAGTGATGAGGACGAGGATGTCCCCTCTGATGTCATCTCCAGGAAGGAACTGGATAAGGGACGGCTGTCCAGAGACGGTACACTACCTACCAGATCACTACAGCCTTAGATCTACAGATACCCGTCAATATGTAGACATAGGACATCACAACATGTACCAAACCACTACACTACTCTGTCTGGGTAGCTCAGACACTTCTCACTTTACCAGATCACTAAACTACTCTGTCTGGGTAGCTGACACCACTCTCTAAGCATTTAAATGTTTAAAGGGCACAATTATTTGAAAATGCTGAGAGAAATGTGTAGTGTCTGGATTTGTAACTGTTGGGGGTGTTGAGATCAAAACATGCCTTTTTTAATGATACCTGTCATTCTAACTATAGGGAGTGACTCAATGTTTGGCCTTGAATTTAAATAAGGTTTGAATAGCCATCAGATTGGCAGAGGCACCCCTGTGGTCTTCTGTAGCTGTTTGTATTGAAGTAGGACTGGGGTTGACTGGCTTCTTCTCTTTCCTCTCTTTCAAACCAGAGATTAAAAGGATGTCGGTGTATAAAAATTATGAACCTGGAGAGCCGACCAGCAGACTTTACGTGAAGAACATTGCCAAGTCAGTGGAAGAGAAAGTAGGTACCTTTTTATACTACAGAGTTGACAAACTTTCAATGTGTATGTTTAGTTTACAAACGTTTGCTTCTAGTCTTCTGCTTCTCCTGTCTAATCCCATCAAATCATGTACAGTGAGGGAAAAAAGTATTTGATCTCCTGCTGATTTTGTACGTTTGCCCACTGACAAAGACATGATCTGTCTATAATTTAATGGTAGGTTTATTTGAACAGTGAGAGACAGAATAACAACAAAAAAATCCAGAAAAACGCATGTCAAAAATGTTATAAATTGATTAGCAGAAAAACACCCCCAAAGCATAATGTTTCCACCTCCATGTTTGACGGTGGGGATGGTGTTCTTGGGGTCATAGGCAGCATTCTTCCTCCTCCAAACACGGCGAGTTGAGTTGATGCCAAAGAGCTCGATTTTGGTCTTATCTGACCACAACACTTTCACCCAGTTCTCCTCTGAATCATTCAGATGTTCATTGGCAAACTTCAGACGGCCCTGTATATGTGCTTTCTTGAGCAGGGGGACCATGCGGGCGCTGCAGGATTTCAGTCCTTCACGGCGTTGTGTGTTACCAATTGTTTTCTTGGTGACTATGGTCCCAGCTGCCTTGAGATCATTGACAAGATCCTCCCGTGTAGTTCTGGGCTGATTCCTCACCGTTCTCATGATCATTGCAACTCCACGAGGTGAGATCTTGCATGGAGCCCCAGGCCGAGGGAGATTGACAGTTATTTTGTGTTTCTTCCATTTGCGAATAATCGCACCAACTGTTGTCACCTGCTCACCAAGCTGCTTGGCGATGGTCTTGTAGCCCATTCCAGCCTTGTGTAGGTCTACAATCTTGTCCCTGACATCCTTGGAGAGCTCTTTGGTCTTGGCCATGGTGGAGAGTTTGGAATCTGATTGATTGATCGCTTCTGTGGACAGGTGTCTTTTATACAGGTAACAAGCTGAGATTAGGAGCAGTCCCTTTAAGAGTGTGCTCCTAATCTCAGTTCGTTACCTGTATAAAAGACACCTGGGAGCCAGAAATCTTTCTAATTGAGAGGGGGTCAATTACTTATTTCCCTCATTAAAATGCAAATCAATTTATAACATTTTTGACATGCGTTTTTCTGGATTTTTTTGTTGTTATTCTGTCTCTCACTATTCAAATAAACCTACCATTAAAATTATAGAATTATCATTTCTTTGTCAGAGGGCAAACGTACAAAATCAGCAGGGGATCAAATACTTTTTTCCCTCACTGTGTAATGTGGTGTTATGATAACGTTATGCTGATGGTGGCTATTTGTTATTCTCTGTATTGCAGGATCTGAAATACATCTATGGGAGATACATCGACGTCTCATCTGAGGCAGAGAGAAATATGTATGTATTGAGACATTGCTTGCGGTGTACGGTGCTTCAAATCAAAATCGAATCTTTAGGATATCTTTGAGAATGATCTGTCACTTCTCTCCCCCAGGTTTGACATAGTGAATGTGTAGACTAGGCATCAGTGAGAATAACCTCTCCCTTGTCTCTGCCTCAGGTTTGACATAGTGCTGATGAAGGAGGGTCGTATGAAGGGCCAGGCATTCGTAGGACTCCCCAGTGAGAGGAGTGCAGAGAAGGCCCTGAGAGACACCAACGGTTTCGTCCTCTATGACAAGCCCCTCGTCGTTGTATCCTTTACTTCTAATCAAAGATAAAACAGACAAATATATACTTTAAACAATCATTAAGAATATATTTATATATTTAATTTAAATGTAATCAAAACAGTTTTAACAATTATAAAGCAAGGTTGGTATTTGAAATTCTCTAGAGATACATATTACGCTTAGTGCATAAGTTTGTTTCTTAGTTTGTGTGATGTTTCCTGTACAATATGTGTATGTTAACTGTTTCCGACCTTAACTCAGACCTCCCAGTCGTTTGCCAGGTCTGCCAGACCTAAAGCGGACGCCCCGGACCCCAAGAAAGGACCCAAACGAACCCGATGAACAGGTGAGAAGGGTTCTTCTGCTCCTCTAGGTCCATATTATGTTGTCTCACTGACTTCTGAAAAATATAAATAGAACTCTTGAAATATAACTCCTGTGCTGAATGTTGATTCAAAGAAGTATTGATTTAAAAAAAGATAGGCCTAATCTGAGAAATTCAAGCTATTTATTAGTGAATTTATTATAGTTCTGTATCTAAAACATGATCCCTATATTTATCTAAAACACTATCTGTATCTTTAAATTTTTTGTTTAAGATATTGATGTCAAGTTGACGTTACATGGTGATAGTGTGGCCCAGCAGTCAGTACCATTTGTATCCTTCTGAGTCTGTCATATCCTTTCCAAAACACATCATACCATCATGATACCTGTCTGTTTTCTCTGCTTGGGTATACAACCAGGCTATTCTGTAATTACCGGTACCTTGGAGTTAAAACACCAAACATTAAGCCTAGTTATAATATCCAGTGAAATCAATAGCAGTTTTAAAATGATAGGTTACAACCTAACTCCCTAACACAGAAGAAACGTCATATTAAAAATAAAAATAAATCACAATATACAGTCTTATGGGGTTTTATTTTCTGATGAGGGACATAAATGTAATAAAACACACCTGTTTCTATCCTTCCAACATGCACACACACCAATTCTTGCATAAATTGTAGAGCCTGGAGTCAGTGTTTTATTTATCTGAAATGTTCTTCTCCCCTGATATTAAATCTTTTTTGCTGTTGCTGTGAGATGTAGTATTTCTAATCTGTAAAAATCTCCCCCTTTCAATATTTGACATCTCCCCTGTTTGGTTCTGAACTACAGGTGATGGAATCCTCTGCAAAGCTGAAGACAACAAGTTAGGAATATAATTTCTTCTGTTTTAACAAATAAAAACATATTTTTTTATATATATATTGTCTTTGCCTATAAATGCCTAATAGTCCACTGTAAGGTCTTTATTTATTAATTATTATTTTTGTATATTTTACATAATCACACAATGTCAAATTTGCCTAATTACAAAATATAGATATGAATTTACACCATTTTGTAGCATTGGTGAACCATCTGTAGGGTCACAGGAGTTTTCAACCTCAGAAAGTGATAACTGAACAGGAGAGAGAGAAGGTAAATGTAGACTGAAAGCAAATTGAAATCTAGATTGGCTGTAAGCTACAGATGGTGGTGTCAAAGTTGTAGAGTAACACTCTTGAGGAGAATGTGAGCGATGATGCTGGTAGGCAGGGACTGAGTCCATAAGCTTAGCTGTACCCTGCTCTCTGTACTCTGAATGCATGATGATTGATATATTTATTGGGGATAGACCAAAGTACACACTGTAGGAAGGTGAGCAGTGCCAACAAAACAGACAGAATTGTTTATTAAAATCACTTTTCTTGTATTGTCAGTTCCATGCCTCATTTCATGAAGATAATCAGTCACCCATTCATTATGGAGGACTAAAAGTGCCACAATTAAATAAATAAATACACCATTAAATAATTACTTAAATGTGTCATTAATTAATTAAAATTAGAATTAAATACATAAATGTGTAATTAAATGTATCATTAATTAATTCAAATACCGATTCATTTTATGTAAAATACATATATAATTATTTCACTATTTACATTTACATTTCATGATCCTGCATTGCAGTGATTCATGAATTACTTAAAACTGTCAAACTGACCCATCAAAGTCAGTGGGCGGGGCTAACGCGAATCTAGTCTGATCCATTGCTTTGGTCTGAAGTAGAGTAGGCCAACCTGGATAGAGACAATGGAGGATCTCCGTGAACTTTCCAGGGAGTTGGTTAGAGACATTTTAAACTTAGCAGAGGATGTAGAAGCAGGACCTGCTGACATTATCCGGAATTGATTTGTCTTGGCTTGATGCAGAGGGTAACCAATCAGGCGTTAGGTTCCGCCTACCAACTTTTGATGGGTCAGTTTGACAGTTTTAAGTAATTCATGAATCACTGCAATGCAGGATCATGAAATGTAAATGTAAATAGTGAAATAATTATATATGTATTTTACATAAAATGAATCGGTATTTGAATTCATTAATGATACATTTAATTACACATTTATGTATTTAATTCTAATTTTAATTAATTAATGACACATTTAAGTAATTATTTAATGGTGTATTTATTTATTTAATTGTGGCACTTTTAGTCCTCCATAATTCATATGTTTAGCACCAATATATGGTATTAGCAATATATGGTAGCATTTGCATGACTTGCACCCACTGCTGCAGAGACTGACCAGGGTCTCTCAGTTACTGCCCTGCCCACTGAGGGTGCTTGATCTGTGGGCTTCAGAAGAGGAACAGCTCCCTGCTTTAGGGCCTGTTATAAACAAGCCCCTTCAAATGCTGCACAGACTGGCTGTGTTGTCTGAGAAGCAGCTTGCAACTGGACTGCATGGATCTGCAGAGCTGAAGAGCAAACATGAAGGTGAGCCATTTAGAACTATAGCCTACTGCAGATGGCGGTGTTATTGAATGATACAAACACACTAGTTAGAAATATCCAGTCTGACACACAGGCCTTTACCACTGCCAAAATATGTGAACAAACTAGTATCCTTTGCAAACGCATGCTGTTTTTCTCGATTCAATATGTTTTCTATTGCATTGAAACATTTGTTCAGTAAATCCCGTGTAATAATTTGGTTGTAGGACCTATGTTAGTGTTTATGAGGTTTGTCTTTATCTCTCGTTGAGGTTGCACTACAGGTCTTTTGGAAGCAGCAAATGTGTCTGTAAAATGTCCCAATTTAAACGTAATACTTGCAAGACAAGGTGGGATCTTTTTTTTTGTTGGTGAAATGGATTACGCGACAATTGCGGTGGAAACGCTTTTGTGCGCAAATGTTTATATAAAAACCATAATCGCAGTAAATTTGTAGTGACGCGATGTTTCATATGTTACCACAAGGACGTGGAAAAACATGCTGAGTTTATAGACAGATGGAATAAGTTATTATGAACTTTATAATTTATTTCTTGACTGAACTTATGGTGATTAGGTGCACACTGATAAGCTTCATGCAAATGTTCACTAAATATCGAGGATGGGCTATTATTTGAATTATGTTAGTGACATGGTAGGTGCTTAGCTGCCAATAATCAAATAAAAATGATCTGGCGTTTATCTAGCCCAAACCCCGCCTGATGGCGATATTGAGTCGTTTCCTCTTATTGTCCAAAGTGAATGCACGCAGATGGGTATACATTTGTATCCCCGTGGACCTGTTCGTACATAAAACATTCGCAATTCAGGCTCCAAATGCATCTATTTCCTCCTAAACTCGATTTAATGATAAGACTGAAAATATGAGTACTTTCTTCATGATACGCAATTTTCCTCCAGCAAGTGGTTAATGCCTAGTCCCGGATATTGCGTTCAGACTATCAGGTTGCAGCAGTCTTGTTTATCCCTGGCTGAACTAGGGGTGCAACATCAGGAAGAAGTATTAGCATGGTGGTGGAAAATGGTGCTTCATAAAGAAAGTATGCATATTTCCCCCGTTTTTTCCCCCGCGTTCTCGCCATTAAATCGAATTAAGGAGGTCATCGACATCTTTGTAGCATCTGTGACATAACCATCAGTAGAGTTGAAAATGCAATGGAAATCCATTTAACTTAACTGCAAAAGTGTGTATATATATATATATGATTATTTGTCAAATAAATAAAAATAGCTTACTGCACCTGGTATTCCCATGCGGTAGTCTGTCCCAGTACTAACCAGGCCCGACCCTGAACAGGTGTGTTCAGGGTGGTAGGGGCACAAACACAGTTCGACTGACAACCGTCGTCAGCTTGCAGGCGCCCGGCCCTGTCACAAGGGGTTGCTAGAGCACGATGAGCCAAGGAAAGCCCCAGCGGCCAAACCATCCCCTACCACGGACGGCGCTGGGCCAATTGTGTGCAGTGCTTTTGGCCGCTGCGCCACCCAGGTCCAAACTTTTTTTTAAATGTATACTACATCATCACGCACAGCCTTTTATCCGCAACATGTCAGTGTTGATGAACATCCCTCTGGAGGGAAAATTTGCATATCGTTTTTACGCAGATTTTAGAATATTCAAGTGAAAATCTGTCGCCAGTTGGACAGAAACCTAGGTATTGTAATAAATTAATCAGTCACTTGTGTCATTGCCTCCACCAGGTAAAAGCTAAACTATGTGGCTGCCTGTTGGCTCTGGGTCTTGGAGTAGGCCTCTCCCAATACCAGTCTAAAAGTCACACAAAGCATCACATTCAGCAGGGCAGGTCAACCATAGTCCACCTGTTTGAGTGGCGCTGGAATGACATAGCTGAAGAGTGTGAGCGATATCTGGGACCCAATGGATTTGATGGAGTGCAGGTATGCCTATGTGTTTTTCTTCCAGGCAACAGTACAGTCAAATCACATTGTATTTCTGTTGGAAGACCGCTTCTACTTTTAAAGTCTATTACAACATTTATGTATAAGATCTGATGACCCAGCCTCCACTGTTAACACTATTGATAATATAGATCATGTGTACATACAGTATAGATGCACATCAGCGGAGGCTGCTGAGGGGAGGACGGCTCATAATAATGGCTGGAATGGAGTCAATGGAATGGTATCAACCACAAGGAAACCACTTGTTTGGTACCATTCCATTAACTCCATTCCAGACATTATTATGTGCCATCCTCCCTTCAGCAGCCTCCACTGTTGGAATGGAATAAATGGAACAGTATCAAACAGATCAAACATATGGAAACCACGTTTCACTCCGTTCCATTGATTCTATTCCAGCCTCTACAATGAGCCCATCCTCCTATAGCTCCTCCCACCAGCCTCCACTGATACACATGTACAGTAGATATTCCTCATAGAAATGACTGATAATTTATATATTTTACAGACTATATTCTTCATGTATCACAACCGGCCGTGATTGGGAGTCCCATAGGGCGGCGCACAATTGGCCCAGCGTCGTTCGGGTTTGGCCGGTGTAGGCCGTCATTGTAAATAAGAATTTGTTCTTAAATGACTTGCCTAGTTAAATAAAGGTAAAATAAAATAAAATATAAATGTGTTGTACTAGATCTCCCCTCCCAGTGAGAACGTGGTGGTGACTAAACCATGGAGACCGTGGTGGGAGAGGTACCAGCCAGTCAGCTACAACCTCTGTTCTCGCTCTGGAACCCAACAGGAGCTCCGAGACATGGTCTGCAGGTGCAACAATGTCGGGGTAATGATGATGGAACATGATTCCTTTGAATTCATTTATAGAAGGAAAAGTGGACATGGTTATATACATTTTGAGAAAAAGGCCTTGGTCCAATCATTTCTCACTCTTTCTAAAACTATCTTATTGGTTATGCAATGGTTTGCTTGAGAAGAGATATCATTTAACTCATTTGTACTAGAGGGATGTACCGAATTTCTGTTTTAATTGTTAAGGAAGGAACACGACTGCCCACAGATACTGTGCTGTATGCGTTTTGACCTCTCATTGTATAGATCTATTTGAATTGTGTGAGCCTTATATTGAGACACGACATGTACAGTGCCTTCAGAAAGTATTCACACCCCCTGACTTTTTCCACATTTTGTTGTGTTACAGCCTGAATTTAAAATGGATTAAATTGAGATGTTGTGTCACTAACCTACACACAATACCCCATAATGTCAAAGTGGAATTATGTTTTTAGATTCTTTTAAACAAATTAATTAAAAATAAAAAGCAGAAATGTTTTGAGTCAATAAGTATTCACCCCTTTGTTATGGCATGCCTAAATAAGTTCAGGAGTAAAAATTTGATTAACAAGTCACATAATAAGTTGCATGGACTGCAATAATAGTGTTTAACATGATTTTTTTTATGATTACCTCATCTCTGTACCCCACACAATTATCTGTAAGGTCCCTCAGTCGAGCAGTGAATTTCAAACACAGATTATACCACAATGACCAGGGAGGTTTTCCAATGCCTCGCAAAGAAGGGCACCTATTGGAAAGAAGGGCACCTATTGGAAAGAAGGGCACCTATTGGTACAGTAGATACTGAATAACCATTTGAGCATGGTGAAGTTATTAATTACACTTTGGAGGGTGTATCAATACACCCGGTCACTACAAAGATACAGGCGCCCTTCCTAACTCAGTTGCCGGAGAGGAAGGAAACCGCTCAGGGATTTCACCATGAGGCCAATGGTGACTATAAAACAGTTACAATGTTTAATGGCTGTGATAGGAGAAAACTGAGGATGGATCAACAACATTGTAGTTACTCCAGAATGCTAACCTAAATGACAGAGCGAAAAAAAGGAAGCCGGTACAGAATAAAAATAATACAAAACATGCATCCTGTTCGCAATAATATTTTCAATCATGGTGGTGGCTGCATCATGTTATTTATATGCTTTTCATCGGCAAGGAATATAGTTTTTTTTAGGGTAAAAAGAAACGGAATAAAGCTAAGCACAGGCAAAATCCTAGAGGAAAACCTGGTTCAGTCTGCTTTCCAACAGACACTGGAAGACAAATTCACCTTTCAGAAGGACAATAAAATAAAACACAAGGCCATATATACACTGGAGTTGCTTACCAAGACGACATTTAATGTTCCTGAGTGGCCTAGTTACAGTTTTGACTGAAATCAGCTTGAAAATCTATGGCAAGACTTGAAAATGGCTGTCTAGCAATGATCATCAACCAACTTGACAAAGCTTGAAGAATTATGTGGAAATGAATTACCCAGACTTACCCAGAAAGACTCACAGCTATAATCACTGCCAAAGGTAATTCTAACATGTATTGACTCAGGGGTGTGAGATATTTCTGTGTAGACATTTTTCAATATATTTGCAAAAATTTCTAAAAACATGTTTTCACTCTCATTACTGATTATTCTGTGTAGTACATTTTTATTTACACTGAGCAAAAATATAAACGCAACAATTTAAACGATTTTACTGAGTTACATTTCATGTAAAGAAATCATTACATTGAAATAAATTCATTAGGCCCTAATCTATGGATTTCACATGACTGGGAATACAGATATGCATCTGTTGTCCACAGATACCTTTAAAAAAAGGTAGGGGTGTGGATCAGAAAACCAGTCAGTATCTGGTGTGACCACCATTTGCCTCATGCAGTGCGACACATCTCCTTCGCATAGAGTTGTTGAGGCTGTTGATTGTGGCCTGTGGAATGTTGTCCCACTCCTCTTCAATGGCTGTGCAAAGTTGCTGGATATTGGCAGAAACCGGAACACTCTGTCGTACACGTCGATCCAGAGCCTTCCAACATGCTCAATGAGTGACATGTCTGGTGAATATGCAGGCCATGGAAGAACTGGGACATTTTCAGCTTCCAGGAATTGTGTACAGATCCTTGCGACATGGGGCTGTGCATTATCATGCTGAAACATGAAGTGATGGCGGCGGATGAATGGCACGACAATGGGCCTCAGGATCTCATCACGGTATCTCTGTGCATTCAAATTGCCATTGATAAAATACAATTGTGTTCATTGTCCCTAGCTTATGCCTGCCCATATCGTAACCCCATCGCCACCATGGGGCACTCTGTTCACAACGTTGACATCACCAAACCACTCGCCCACACAATGCTATACACGCTGTCTGCCATCTGCCCGGTACAGTTGAAACTGGAATTCATCCAGCGTGTCAGTGGCCATCGAAGGTGAGCATTTGCCCACTGACGTCGGTTACGATGCCGAACTGCAGTCAGGGCAAGACCCTGGTGAGGACGACGAGCATGCGGATGAGTTTCCCTGAGACGGTTTCTGATAGTTTGTGCAGAAATTATTTGGTTGTGCAAACCCACAGTTTCATCAGCTGTCCGGGTGGCTGATCTCAGACGATCCCGCAGGTGAAGGTCGGATGTGGAGGTCCTGGGCTGGCGTGGTTACATGTAGTCTTCGGTTGTGAGGCCGGTTGGGCGTACTGCCAAATTCTCTAAAACGACATTGGAGGCGGCTTATGGTAGAGAAATTAACATTTAATTATCTGGCAACAGCTCTGGTGGACATTCCTGCAGTCAACATGCCAATTGCACGCTCCCTCAAAACTTGAGACATCTGTGGCATTGTGTTGTGTGACAAAACTGCACATTTTAGAGTGTCCTTTTATTGTCCCCGCACAAGGTGCACCTGTGTAATGATCATGCTGTTTAATCAGCTTCTTGATATGTCACACCTGTCAGGTGGATGGATTAAATTTGAGTACAACATTTGAGAGAAATAAGCTTTTTGTGCGTGTGGAACATTTCTGGAATCTTTTGTTTCAGCTCATAAAACATGGGACCAACACTTTACATGTTTATATTTTTGTTCAGTATATTTAATACATTTTGAATTCAGGCTGTAACACAAGAACATTTGGAATAAGTCATTGGGTATAAATACTTTCTGAAGGCACTGTATAAATCATATCTAAATATAAAGTTCTGGTGTGAATTGTACTGTATGCCTTTAGATCTCTCATTGTAGATCCATGAAAATAGCGTGAACTACTGCTATGAATGGATATGATATCTGTTTGAATAGTGAACTACATTCATGTATCAGTATTAGTGTGGTTATGAACACATCTCCCTCTGCAGGTGAAGATCTATGCAGACGTGGTCATTAATCACATGTGTATGTCTGGCGCGGGCGAGGGGGAGGGCAGACGCCGTTCGACCTGTGGCTCATACTTCAATGCCAGCAAGAGGGAGTTCCCATCTGTGCCCTACTCCGCTTCCCACTTCAACAATGACAAATGCACCACCAGCAGCAGAAATATTGAGACTTTCCAAGACATTTATCAGGTATAATTTCAGAGAGAAAATAAATAGGATAACTTCTTGTAAATACCACTAGACACTGATAGAGACGTATTATGTTCTCTCTCTCTGCAAACCTCTTTTTTAAAATCACGTAATGTAATATAAACCCAGAGATCATACAATGTATTGCTTTGGCATTTCAACCCACCAGGTGCGGAACTGTCGTCTGCTAGGTCTTCTGGACCTGGCGCAGGACAAGGAGCATGTGAGGGAGAGGATAGTGGACTACATGAACAGGCTGGTGGACATGGGTATAGCAGGTTTCAGGGTGGACGCATGTAAACACATGTGGCCTAGGGACCTGAAGAACATCTACAGCAGACTTCACAACCTCAACACCACCTGGTTCACACAGGGATCCAGACCACTCATTTACCAAGAGGTGGGAATGAGAAATGTCCATATGTTGACTTATTGTACTTGTATAATGTATTTAAGTAGGCAATGTGTTCTGTTGTTTTGGCCTGTTATGTATCATTTTTGATTGCTTACAATATGTTTATTTATTCAAAACAACAGGCTAGTCTAGCAAATATTTTATATATACCTTTTGTCATGCGTTTCTTGTAAGTGACAATTAAACATTAATGCTGCAGATTTAGGAATTTATCAATCAGCTTCTGACATTTAAGCTGTAGGCCTACTGTGGGCACCATGTTTATTTGTGTGATTTAGCAAAAACACTGCAAATCCAACAGGAACACATGCCCATTTTCTCTTCAAGGTTATCGACCTAGGTGGCGAGCCGATAAAAGCGACAGACTACTCTGGACTGGGCCTCGTCACAGAGTTCAAGTATGGTGCTATGCTGGGCTCTGTCATCCGCAAGTGGAACCAACGGAAACTCTCTGACCTCAAGTATGATTTGGCATGCCTGCCAAATGGCACCCTATTCCCTATGTTCCTTGCTGGTCAAATGTAGTGTACTATGAAGTTAATACGGTGCCATTTGGGATGCACACACATAGTATAACATCTTGCCTTGGTCTAAGAATATAAATATGGCAGATTGTATATCAGCAAATTCTCAAATATATGTTGAACCCTCAGCATGTATGACTGAAGTATATTGTCTCGGTTACTACATAACCCTGGTTCTCTGATGGAGAGAACAAAACATCACTGAAAGAGAACCCGCTTGTGATACTGTGAGAATCGGACTATTCTGAGGTGAAAATTAGCTTCTTGTCTGTTGTTTCAGGACGTGTGGTGAGAGCTGGGATCTGCTGCCCTCAGGCGAGGCGCTGGTGTTTGTGGATAACCATGACAACCAGAGAGGGCATGGTGCAGGAGGGGCCTCCATCCTCACATTCTGGGAGCCCAGGTAGGGACCATACTGTAGAATCTGATTATATATATTGTATAAGTATAGACAAATTATTTATATCATATCCTCAGAATGTATAAGATGGCCGTGGCTTTCATGCTGGCCCATCCCTATGGAGTTACAAGAGTGATGTCAAGCTACTGGTGGGATAAACATGTTGTGGATGGAAAGGTATGCTTCTGACAGTCTAAACCTCTGAAAAGTTCTGTTGACGTCTCTTAAACCACAACACTTTAGATCTTAAACCTTGCACATTGTGTATGACCACAGTCACTTGACTATGGTCAATGTGACTGCTCGCCTCACGGTCGTGCTGTTCGTCTTGCTACCTGTCTGTCGGTCAGGACCAGAATGATTGGATAGGTCCTCCCAGCTTCCCTGACGGCTCCACCAAGCCTGTCCCTATCCAGCCAGATGGCAGCTGTGGGGAGGGCTGGGTGTGTGAACACCGATGGCCCACAATCAGGTGACAGTTTAAACCTCCAGATCTCAGTCAGTCAATCATGTTGAATAGTATTGTATTGACCTACTATAAAGGGTAACACTTTATTTGAAGGGTACCTTCAACAAGGACTTCATAACACGTTCATAAGCAATACGTAAAGCTTTCTTAAAAAGTGTGTAAGCGTCTCAAAAATGTGGTCGTTGACATAAGCATCTTATGATAGTATTATATTAAGTATTAATGTAGGTCCCCTTCAAACAAAGCGTTATCCAGTAATGTGAGCAGTTTGACCTGGTCAATGTACAGTTATTTTGTATGTGCGCTTAATGGTGGTTATTATTTTGCTGAACTGCTCTCTCTCTCCATGTAGAAATATGGTGATGTTCCGTAATGTTGTTGATGGGGAGCCGTTGTCTAACTGGTGGGACAATGGGGGGAACCAGATAGCTTTTGGACGAGGCAACCAAGGCTTCATAGTTATCAACAATGATAACTGGTATGTGAGTTTCACCATATGGAAGAAGTTGTAGATAACACATTTGCAGACATTTAAATGAATGCCATTAATTAATTTGTTAGAGGACATTTTGATGGTCCATTTTTGATCGAAAGGGAAGCACTGTTTGATGGAATTGACAAATACTAATAAGATGATCTTTGAATGGGTAAGGAAATCAATTCCATAACATAGTAGCAGTCATCCTACAATAATTGTATGTAACACTGAACTCTTTCCTATTATTCAGTTCCCTGGATGTGATGCTGTCCACCGGCCTTCCTGGAGGAACCTACTGTGATGTCATCTCCGGTCAGAGGTCAGGGGGGCGTTGCTCGGGGAAACAGGTTACCGTTGGAGGGGATGGGAGAGCACACTTCACCATCAGCCCCTCTGACCCGGACCCTGTCATAGCCATTCACACACACTCTAAGCTAGAGTAGGAGCTAATAACACTGCACTTTGAACCACAGACTATGATATTATAGTTAATGTATCATTACTGTATTTCAAGTGTTCTTTCTATCGATGTTTGGAAAGATGATGATGATGGATGATTAAGCAATAAGGTATGAGGGGGTGTGGTATATGGCCAATATACCACGGCTAAGGGCTGTTCTTAGGCACAACGCATTGCGGAGTGCCTGGACACAGCCCTTAGCCGTGGTATATTGGCCATATACCACAATGCCCCCAAGGTGCCTTATTGCTATTATAAACTGGTTACCAACGTAATCAGAGCAGTAAAAATACATGTTTTGTCATACCCGTGGTATACGGTCTGATATACCACGGCTGTCAGCCAATCAACATTCAAGGCTCAAACCACCCAGTTTATAATGAAGATTATACTACAGTGATGTATTGAGATACTGAAATGTCATGTGTTATTATGGCTCATATCAATGTGGGTCAAGTGAAATGTGTAAAAACATAATCAATGGAAATGTTACATCAGATGTGATTATGCACTATAGATTCTGCATGACTTCAAGTTAGCGTTCACATACATACATTTACATTAATTATATACTGTATGTGTTATCATTTATAACATTAAATTAAATGTCCAGTTGGAAATAGAACCAGTTCCAGTTTTTTTTTTACTGAAAACTGTCAGGTAGATTTTTAAAAAGGCTAACTGGCCATGGCACAATGATGACAAAACCTGTTTAACAACTCCTCCTAATATTGCTGATGTGGCTTCACATAGTGTGTGAAGAGAACCCAGCCAACTCTAGAGAGTACTCTTGTAATCAGTTTAACAAGACTTTCCTGGAGCAAATCTGTCAATTCCAAGGTGTGCTTATTCATTATACAGCGAGTGATGGCTTTACTATGCATATTTTATGGCTTTAAACCCTGCAAGTTTCATGAAGTTGTCCAAATGAGTAGCATTTAAAACTAAAATGAAGTCATTCATTTGAATAATTTATATTGGATGTCTCTGATAAGCATTAGCACCAAGGTCATCCGTTCTGCTTCAGCCAGGAGCTGCTTTTCAATAATGCTGCCCATTGATAAACAACTTTGTAGTCACAGAGAGAGAGAGAGCGAGAGAGACACAGAGAGATAGAGAGAGAGTGTCACAGAGGGAGCTTCCTCATTCTACCAAACCTGCTTCTTACTTATTCAGAGGGCTTGATATAGACATAACTAACACCATAGCTGTGGTACAGTGCAGGGCTTGAATTATGCAATCCTTCTTCAGCAAAACAACAACACATGGAACAAACATGTCACAGTCTCTACAGTAAACTCAATGCATGTGTTGAGAGTACAATGCCGTGGTGTTGTCACATTAGGCTGAGGAATATTCTCACTAGACCCTGCTTGGGAGCACATACACCCCAGCATCTGTGATGCCTTCCCACTCACACACACACACACACACACACACACACACACACACACACACACACACACACACACAGCATGCTAACGATGCTAACGCTACACAGCCCAACAACAGTCCCTTCCTCATCACTTGTCCGGAGCTGTCTGAACTGCCAACTAAATCTCGGCCTCATCTTATCCACTGTAACCTTGCTTATTCCCCGTAGTGGCATTAGTAGAGCTGTAAAAGTATTTATGGGGGGACAAATGCGGAAGAGGCAATCTAAGGCAAATATATATTTCCTGCCTGTTGATTTCTCAGGGCCAGAAGGGTATGGGCGGTGATCAGTATGGATATAACTATTCCCTGGGTAACTCTCAGGACTAAGGTAAGGCGACAGAGCAGCATGCCAAACAGCACAGCAGTGTGTGTACACCATGGTTTTAATATGGCTCAGCTGGCCTTCGGCTCTGAGACAGCCGGTAAGGCGGGCCGGTATCCATCTATGAGTGTGTATCATTAGCCCAGACCTAGTGGGCCTGACTCAGCTGTGTGTGTGTGTGTATTGTTATTTTATTAGGATCCCCATTAGCTGTTGCAAATGCATCAGCTACTCTTCCTGGGTCCATATAAAACCTGACATAATATAGAACAATAATAGACAAGAACAGCTCAAGGACAGAATTACATACATTTAAAATAAGAATCTAGAACAAAAAAATGTCCTGTAGTGACAAAACCCTGAGAAAGCAGGTAGACCTATGCTCTAGGCCTATATTCAGTCACATCTATCCCTTACATACTTGCATAGATACATATCAGTTTACATGCAAGTTATTTAGGTGTATGTGTGTATTTGTGTCAGGGGCTAACTTAGCCGTCTAATGTACCAGCCTTTTTTTACAATATGTTCAGTTTGACCTGATGCACAGACTGAGTACCAGGCCTGACTGTGTTTTGAATGTCTTACAGGCATGAAAACACTCTTGGGAATGTGAGTTACCACTCACTGGCTCTGTAATACAGGCAATAACAACATATAAATAAAATTCATGAAAATAGTCAAGTCATTTCTGTCGAGCCTGTTCAAACGAGAACGATCGAACTGATAGGGACTGCAACTGAAGCTATTGCATGAATAAAAAACATTACTATTGCCTCTGAGATTATACAATCCACTATCTGCTATCTACTAAGCCATGTGTAGTATTCCTATTGAGTGATTTCGGTTGTGCACCCACTACCGTACAGCAACATGTCGCCATTGAATTTTGTAATCAATGAGATAGTGTCTCCAGCGATTCCCTTGAGAGCACAGATGATAATGTTTTCCCACATCTGAAAAGCAAATGCTTCCATTATTAATGGGATGAATTATGGAACATAATGTATATCTTTATCTCCACCTAAAGAGGGATTCCTCATAGGGGATGTATGGAGATGACCTGACAGCATACTGATGAAGAGAGAGTGGGTTGGAGGGGATGGGAGAACAGGAGACAGAGTAAGAGAAGAGGAACATTCTTGCTTGAGAAATTGCTCTTTGCTAAGAAGCTATTTTTGTTTTGGACCATTTTAATTGTAAGGTACTTAATTGTTACCCAGAAATATTTGTTATTGAGATAAAAACAGCTGCATTGGACCTTTAAGGCAGAGATTTCTAGCATTTCTAGCTCCCAGCATGCAAAGCTCCAGACAGGTATGCATTACTTTGGGGCCTCAAATCTCAACAGAACTTTGCTAATCTTTTAACCTTGTGCTCTTCTCTCTCGTAGCGTGTGTAGAGAGAGCATCCGTACGGCCTAATCTCTTATAAAAGTTAGAGCGAGTGAGTAGAAGCCATCGCAGGGTGATGATGATGTATCCTGTGATTTCCACCCTCAATATCATCCAGAAGATCGATGTGGTGAGTAAACCTTCGCTGCACAGTGTGCAATCGGCTATGAGCCTAAAAATAAACATTTCAATTGAAATAATCCAACAGGTTTTCTTTCGCCGTGCCAAAGTTAATAACAAAAGAGTAATCTGGGCCCACTGGTAGAATTAGATATGAATCCTTAAATCAAGAGTAATTAAAGCAACAGGAGCGCAGAAGACGTATGACCTTGAAGAGTGAGATGTTTGAAGAAAGTCCTACTCATTTCTCTGGGGGGAGTAAAGTTTCTACACGTAACGTGTGTACGAGATTCAGACCTGGTTTCAAATACTATTTGAAATTATTTCAAATACTTTAGCTGTGGTTGATTGAGCTTGCCTGTTGCAATGGAACGAAGGCTACAGCAAACACTCAAAGTATTATTATTTGAAACTAGGTCTGACAAAATCCTATCGAGTTCCTATAAACTCACCACTTAATTTCTGTGCATTACATTGTCAAGCCTGATGGTGTTCCCCTCAGCACCCATATGAAGTTCATCTCCAAGCGTTTGATCAGTCGTTAACATTAATCCAGTCTCTGGACTCATCTCCTAGGCCTACAGGTCTTTGTAACGTCTGCTTGCGTCACCGACCGTGTTGATAGACAGTCGACCAGCACCTGGTAATTAGCCATGAATATTAGCTGGGAGGGAGCAGCCCAGACTGGGTAATTTCATCTAATGCTCATCTAATGCATTTACCTATTCCCGTTAATTCACCACTGTGTGATTGAGAAATCTGTGTGTGTGCGTGCGTGTGTACTTTGTGTGTGTGTACTTTGTGTATACTTTGTGTGTGCGTGTTTGTGTGTGTGTGTGTGTGTGTGTGCACTCCCACTTCCAATGAGCCCCACATAAATCCTAGGTCTTTATTGTTTAGGAGCTGGCTGGGCCAGACTCGGTCTCAGACATATGGAGTGGAGAAGTCAGTCACACATTACTTTAGGGCTAGATGAGCTGCTCCTAGCTCGATAGGAGAGGGGTAGCTGAGCTGTCCCTTTCATTTTGATGAGATCAAGTGTCCCCTTCCTGTCTGTTTGTCCATGTCTGTAAGCCAGGCAGTTTCCCAGCCAGACAGGTTTATCATCTAAGCCTCTAATAATCTTCCTAGTTTATGAGAGGTCAAGTTAAATAAAATGGCAGATGAATTTCAAGGGCTCCACTCACTTGTGTTTCTCGATCGTCTGTGGCCTCAAAGTCTAATTACAATTTGTTTTGCAATATTGAGAAATAATAGCTTTTCCGTGGTCGTCAGTGTGTGTGTGTGTGTGTGTCTGTCAGTTACCCTCGGAATTGCATTACGGAGGTTTGTTTAAACGGGAGCAAATCGATACCATCTGCCTTCAGATACCCCTTCCGTCTCTCTCTCTGGTCTGCCATAACAACAAGGCTTATTGATCAAGGTCTGCTGCACATATGGAACATGTATTATCTATGCTGGTTTTCCCACTGTATCATCTCTATCTCTCTCTCTCTCTGTCCGTCAGTCTCTCTTTTTTGTTCTCTCCCTATCTCCCTCTCTCTCTCCCTCTCTGCTTCTCTTCCTCTCTCTCTCCCTCCCCCTCTCTCTCTCTCTCTCTCTCTCTCTCTCTCTTTCTACTCTCTGTTAAAGGGGAGATAGCATCAGACAGACATTTAGCTGAACTGGGAGTCACTGACATCAAACATGAATGGGAATTAAGCTCAAGCATGACACAGTAATAGTTCTGCTACCAATATGAACAACTCATAGACATTATGTCTATCCAGAAAGGATTCTCATAGAGGAGTTATTTCTACTGGGTGTGTATGCATGCGTGTTTGTTCGTGTGTGTGCCTG